CTTCATCTTGATGATGTGCGGATGGGCAGAGGGAGGGAGCTGGAACCAGTTCTAAACGGCACTGTAGATTTGTTGATTTCTATAGAAGTTGTTAGAACTGGCATGAACCCACCCCTGCTACCGTCCCTGTCCTCCTGTCTCATTTATATGTACTCTTTTTATGTGTTTATGCTATGTTTTGCTTATTTATATCCATTTATTTGTGCCATTTTTCATGTGTTTTCATACTTGTTTCCTTGTACTTGTTGACAAATAAAAAATGAATGAATAAATTAAAGGCTGGTGGTGGGGTATGGAAGTCAGAGCTGAAGAAGCTTCTTGGATGAGAAGTGTAACATCTTCAAAGAAAAAAACAAGAAAGTCCAGTTCCCAATCCCTAGCATTTTGACCCAGCCTGCCAGCAAAGTTGCATTGCTTTCGCAGTCTCTCCATGTATGCATTCTGGATCTACATCTGGATGAAGGACGCAAGGGAAGGGCATTCTCACAGGCTGGACGATGATGGTATGTACCTCCATCATGAAACGGTCCCACATCCGGGTGAGTTCCCGCCCTTGGTCTGTGTCAGATCCGTAGAAGCCCAGCATCTGTTTGGTTACCAGTCTGGAATTTGATACTACCTGGGGTGAGGAAGAAGGAGAGAATGTTGGTCAACTACATTCCCCAAGCCCAGGTACACAAACATTTCACTTCCAAAGTTTCAGCTTACACAAAGTATATGCAAACAGATTTCTACATTTCCAAATGCATTTCTCTTTGCACTGCAATTCTGGTTTTTCTTTTTTAATCTGCAATCTATGAGGAAAAAATACCATTCAAAAAAGAGAAGAAAAACCCCAAATGTTTCTAGATTGTTTTGGTCTTTTAGAATGAGACAAAATGATTTTTGTCCCCCTTCAGAAATGATTTTAGTACCATCTTATGCCAATTCTGCAAGAGATGCTGAGCTTGTCGATCAGAAAGATTGGCAGCTTGGCAGTTTGAATCCCTATCGCCGTGTAACAGACTGAACTCCTGTTATTTGTCCCAGCTTCTGCCAAACTACCAGTTTGAAAGCGCGTAAAAAATGCAAGTAGAAAAATAGGAACCACCTTTGGTGGGAAGGAAAAAGCATTCCATGCACCTTTGGTGTTTAATCATGCCAGCCATATCACCCTGAAGAAGTCTTTGGACAGTGCTGGCTCTTCGGCTTTGAAACAGAGATGAGCACCGCCCTCTAGAGTCAGGAACGACTAGTTGAGTTGAGTTGAGTTGAGTTTAATGAAATTTGTATGCTGCCCACTCCCATTGGGACTCTGGGTGGCTCACAGGCAAGAAAAAAACATTTTTTAAAATTTTAAAATAAGAAATACAATAATAAAACTAGCACATATGTGCAAGGGGAACCTTAATTTTACCTTTATAGGATCAAAGGATCCATATCCTCATACAATAAGCAATCATGGCTTTTCTTGTCTATTTGTGGACAAAAATGTACAAGCTTTCTCCAAGCTTTGGTTCTCATGAAAGTTTTTGAAGAGCCAACAGATCAAAGAAATTCACCAACATCCCCATATTATGTACTATACAAGACAGTCATAAAGTTTATCAGAGCAATGGGGCTGACAAAGGAAGGAAAAGGAAGCTTCATTAAAATTCCCAGACTGAATTATGTTTTGGGTGGCTCATTCACCACGATAAAAGCAGACATTGGGAAAGAGTGAGCCAAAATCTTTTAGAAGACCAAGTTGGGAAGAATTTGCACCCTGTACTTACAAAATCACGATGTGTGTAGGAGGTGATGCAAGAGGCACATTCAAACAAGTAGACAACCAGGATCAGGACCAGGTACTGAAAAGTAAGAAAATAGAGATTAAAGTTCAATGTCAAAGGAAAAAAAAAATCACACCTGGAAACATTTCCTCCCCAGGATATTCACTATGGATTAGAGATAATTATTGTATCCCTTGATCTGTAGATAATGCAGATTGGTTGCTATTGTCGTTCTTCTCCCATACTCTAGTTGGACATGATGATGGCCTGACTTTCAAAAAGGGATAAGCAAATCCATATAGAAGAGATTTTGATGAATGTTCATTATTTACACCATTTTTGAACTGATCTGGTGACAGTATGTCGATTCCATATGCTGGAGAGGAACAGCTGAGACAGAAATGTCTTGTCTTTAACGCTGGATTACAAGCTAAATTTCTAATGAGCTTTCAGTGTTTTTGCTCTGATCAGGTAGATTCTTAGAAAAATACAAGTACTTTTTCGACCAGAGACAACAATGGAATTGCATCCCAGGAGCTATTAACAGAGTTGGAGGGGACCTTGTAGGTCATCTAGTCTAAACCCCCACCCCGCCCAAGCAGACCCTGCCTACAACATATTTGACAGATGGCAATCCAGTCTCTTCTTGAAAGCTTCTGGTGATGAAGCTCCCACAACTTCTGAAGGCAACTTTTATTCCATTGGTTGATTATTCTCTCTGTCAGAAAAAGTCTCCTTATTTCAAGATTGAATCTCTCCTTGTCCAGTTTCCATCCATTATTCCTTGTCTGGCCTTCGGGTGCTTTGGAAAATAGCTTGACCTCCTTCTCTCTGTGGCAGCCCCTCAAATATTGGAACACTGCTCTCCTGTCTCCCCTGATCCTTCTCATCACTAGACTAGCCATGCCCAGTTCCTGCAACCGTTCTTTGTAAGTTTTAGCCTCCATTCCCCTAATCATCTTGGTTGCTCTTCTCTGCACTCTTTCTAGAGTCTCAACATCTTTTTTTATAGCGTGCGGACCAAAACTGGATGGAGTACTCTAAGAGTGACCTTACTAAGGCTATAGAGTGGTATTAGTACCTCCCTTGATCTTGATTGTGTCCCTCCCTCCCTCCCTCCCTCCCTTCTTTCCTTCCTACCTACCTACCTACCTACCTACCTACCTACCTACCTACCTACCTACCTATCTATCATCCCTCTGTCATCTATCAGCTATCTGTCTGTCTGTCTGTCTGTCTGTCTGTTGGTGTCTGTCTGTCCGTCTGTCTGTCTGTCTATCTATCTATCTATCTATCTATCTATCTATCTATCTATCTATCTATCTATCTATCTATCTATCTATCT